ACAGGGGCAATCATCTATTCTCACCAATTCCATTTAGTCTCATTTTCAGTGAATGATATCAAGGGGTCTTCTCATTAACTTCTCAAATAGTACTATAACATAGGTATCCCTAAATTACAGGTGAAGAAACTGAAGCTCAAAGAAGAAAAGTAACTCATAAGGTGTATAGTTAGTAAGTGGCAGAACTAGGATTGGAACCCAAGTTGGTTTGCTTCTCAACCCTTAACCCTAAGCTGTCCTGCTCCCTCCCAGAAGATAAATCCATGAATCTTGGCATGGTATACAGACTCCTTTATGACTGTTAACCTCTTTAGTCTGCCTACCTCTGCCCATGCCACCTCCTCACACCACTTGCCTTCCCCCCATGCATACCCTTTACTTTCAGGCCATTCCAGACTACTAGACAACTAGTTTCAAACCTGAAGTCTTTATTCATGCTGTTTTCTTGACATCCTTAGAGCCTCTTCCTATGTTTACCTAACTCCTACTTGTTCAAGTATTATGGTACAATCACATCTTGCATTGTTTCCCCAGGTTGGATTGGGTGCTTTTCCCCCTCTATGTTCTTGTATTAGCCTGTGCACATGTCTGTCTTTGCACCTACCACGTTGTTTGGAAATCACCTGGGGAATGGTCTCTCTTTCCTTCTAGCTAATTGATTTTAAGGGTGGTAGTCAAATCTTTGTATATCCAGCACCTAGCACCTAAGCTGGCACAGTGGAGATGTTAAGAAGCATTTGTTGGACCAAAATGGAAGGATTTTATCAAATTATCCAGATGATGACCTTACATTTTTTTCTGGGGTTAACCCAGGCTGAAAGCACTATTCTGACCCATTAGTGATGAGTTTCTGCACTAATAAGTGGTTTTGTCATGCTGTGAATTCTCACCATTTCTAAGCACCAGGGAAAATGTGGGCAAAAATAAATGGTATATATGAAATTAAACCCACCAAAAAAATTTAAGTATTAAAAACATAGGTTAGTTTTATAGCTTACATTTCTTCTCCCACTTTTGGCTCTCATATATGATGTTCCCTTCACCCAAAACACTTTTCCTATACACCTCATGCCTCTCGTGAAGGCTTGTTGCAAAATAAATGTTCGAATTTTTTTACTTTTTTTTTCTTCTTAAGGGGAAAAGTGGGCTGGAAGGAAAAGAGGAAAGGTCTAGTAATTTTTTTTTTTTGAGACCCAGTTTTGTTCTTGTTGCCTAGGCTGGAGTGCAGTGTTGCAATCTCAGCTCACTGAAGCTTTCACCTCCTGGATTCAAGCCTGCCTCAGCCTCCCAAATAGCTGGGGTTAACAGGCATGTGTCACCATGCCTGGCTAATTTTGTATTTTTAGTAGAGACAGGGTTTCACCATGTTGGTCAGGCTGGTCTTGAACTTCTGACCTCAAGTGATCCACCTGCCACAGCCTCCAGAACTGTTGGAATTACAGGCATGAGCCACAACGCCTGGCCAGAGTTAGTAATTATTAAATAAATGACAGAACTACTATAAACTTCTGGTTTTAAATATATATATATATATATTTTCCTTTCTAACTAGGGTACTGATTAAAGACAAACTTTCATCATTTGTTTTTGTTTCTGGAAGAAACAAAGCTAATCTTTTTTTGCAGTGTCTCTGATAATAAAAGAAAATAACTGTACAGTTATTTTAACGGTCTTTTTTTTTTTTTTTTTTTTTGAGAGAGAGTCTTGCTCTTGTCACCCAGGCTGGAGTGCAGTGGTGTGATCTTGGCTCACTGCAGCCTCTGCCTCCTATGTCAGCCTCCTAAGTAACTGGGATTACAGGCACCCACCACCATGCCTGGCTAATTTTTTTTTTTTTTTTTTTTTTTTGAGACGGAGTTTCGCTCTTGTTACCCAGGCTGGAGTGCAATGGCGCGATCTCGGCTCACCGCAATCTCCGCCTCCTGGGTTCAGGCAATTCTCCTGCCTCAGCCTCCCGAGCAGCTGGGATTACAGGCACGCACCACCGTGCCCAGCTAATTTTTTTGTAATTTTAGTAGAGACGGGGTTTCACCATGTTGACCAAGATGGTCTCGATTTGTTGACCTCGTGATCCACCCGCCTCGGCCTCCCAAAGTGCTGGGATTACAGGCTTGAGCCACCGCACCCGGCCCTTTTTTTTTTTTAATGAGACAGAGTCTTGCTGTGTTGCCAAGTGCCAGGCTGGAGTACAGTGGCACAATCTTGGCTCACTGCAATCTCCGCCTCCTAGGTTCAAGCAATTCTTCTGCCTCAGCCTCCCTAGTAGCTAGGACTACAGGCACATGCTACCACACCCAGATAATTTTTGTATTTTTTAGTAGAGGCGGGGTTTCACCATGTTGGCCAGGATGGTCTCAATCTCTTGACCTCAGGTGAACTGCCTGCCTCAGCCTCCCAAAGTGCTGGGATTACAGGTGTGAACCACCGTGCCTAGACTTAACTGTGCCTTTTATTTCATAGTCTTTATAGTTCTTTTACATGGTGAGATTGCGGGGTGGTGGTGGGGAATATTTGTTCCAATTAGGAACAATTATGCATTATTTAATTTGATGTAAAAAGTAATTAATTCTATATACAGAGTTACTGTGGCAGTGAATCACCATTGCTTTTTTTTTTTTTTTTTTTAGTATATTTTTTCCTGAGGTCTATTTTCTTGTAGTCTATTGCTGCTAATTAACAGCTGGTATTTAATAAATTTGCTTGCAGCCGTATCTTGCTGCTGCTGAGCGATTCCCTAACACAATAAGCAGGTGATTATTTACAGAATAAACCATGTTGTCCTGTTTCTTGGAAATCACAGGATTAATTAACTGAGAAGATGTTAAATTGAATTTTAAACCAAAGTCAGATGAAGCCTTACTGGCACAAATTTTGACTAGTGTCTTCTTAATGTCTTATATATTTAATTTGCTTAAGTCAGAATATACTGTTTGTAATGAATTCTGAGCTGGGTTTGGGGTTTCTTTATTCTTCTCCATCATCATTGGGGTATAGTTCTTATTTCTCATTTTATGCTTCCTTTCAGTTCTCCAAGGCTTCTCTGCTGATACTCATAGACTCTAGGTGGATTTTTACTTTTCTAAAAAATGTTGTTGTTCACAGAGAGTGCATTTTAGCAGCAGTTTGAGTGTTGCTTTTTCAGTTTTCCAGAGTATCAGGAAATGCACTGGTGATAGTTTTTATTCATTGTCATCAGTCCTTGCTATTTTGGGTTTTCCTGTGTAACACTAGACTCCATGGTCCCTTATTATACTAGATTTGGCAAATAGCTGACAACTACGTTGCTCAAGTCAGGCTTTAGGTCACCTTCAAATTCTAGGTTGACCACTACCACTTAGAGAAAGCAGCATGATGTAACAGAAAATACCCAGGAAATGGTTAAGAGACTTGGTTTTACCACTCACTAGCCTTGTGACCTTAATCAAACCATTTCACCTCTGAGACAGGGGTTTGGGGAGACTTGGTTTCTTTATTGATTAAATATGGGGTTTAGACTGGGTGCTCTTCCACACCCTTCCCAGTATGAATACCATTGGTACATTGGAACTGGGTCATTCCTAGTCACCTTGCTTTAGTTGGAGGTGTAGAGGGCTATTTTTGGCCCTCTTATAGTTCAGATGCACTCATAGGAGCTAAAATGGACTAAAGCCGAGGCACTAGTGTGAACCCACCTTGTGGCTCCATAAAGCCTGCCGTCTCTGGAACCGTGATGACTTCCAACTTGCCCCAGGTATGAGAGGTCATCACAATTCCAACATATCTCAAGGCCAAGAAGTGACAATCTACAAATTTGAACCCAGTTATAAATTCGTATTCTTTTGTTATGTCCTGCTTCCTCCACAGAGTAAAGATTACAACACTGATGCTTTTATCATCTTTAATGGATTGGGGATATGGCTTATAAAGAGTAAAAATCACAGTAGATACATAAAATAAAAGAATTTGGCCGGGTGCCATGGCTCACACCTGTAATCCCAGCACTTTGGGAGGCCAAGGCAGGTGAATTGCTTGAGCCCAGGACTTTGAGACCATCCTGGACAACATGATGAAACCCCATCCTACAAAAAATACAAAAATTATCTGGGCATGGTGGCAAGTGCCTGTGGTCCTAGCTACTCCAGAGGCTAAGATGGAAGGATTGCTTGAGCCCAGGAGGTTGAGGCTGCAGTGAGTTGTGATCACATCACTGCAATCCAGCCTGGGTGACAAAGCAAGACCCTGTCTCAAAACAAAAGCCAAAAAAAAAAAAAAAAAAGAATCCTCTGACAATTATTGCATGAAATCATTTTTTTCAGATATCTTTATACAGTTATAAAAGTATACAAAACCTAGATACAATATAAAAAATAATTATAGATCAATCTTATGTGGCCACCACCTGTGGTAACAAATAGACCATTGCCAGCACCCCAAAAACCCTGTGTGCCCTTGAAGATCACAGCCCTCTACCTCTCCCCATGAGGTAAGCACCATTCCTTCAAGATAAGCACTTCGTTGTTTTTCCTTGCGGTTTTACAGTGTATGTTCGTATCCTCAAACAATATAGTTGTTATGCACATTTCTGAACTTTATATAGATCATACAATATGCACTTGTTAGTGTTTTGCTTCTTTTGCCCATTGTTTGCGAGATCCATCCATGTTGTGGCATATAACTGTCATTCATTCATTTTCATTGCTTTATTTTTATTCTGCTGTAGGAATAGACCACAATTTATTCATCCATTCTGCTACTAATAGATATTTGGGATGATTTCCAGTTTGGGGTTATTGAAGGACAGTACTATCCTGAACATTCTTGTACATGTCCTCCCCTGGGACACATATATGGGAGCTTCTCTGGTGATATTCCTAGGAGTGCAATTGTTGGTCATAGAGTATTCAGATTTTCAACCAGCTGTGACTGCCAAACTTAATTATCACTGGTGCTTTTAACCCATACATTTTTAATGAAAATTTAAAGTCTTCTGTTCTCCTCTAAAAGGTTTGTCTTTCCTGTAGAAAAATGCAAGAATGGCAGCAGAAAAGCATTATTCTGTTACCCTAAAAGCACTAGGAATATCTGATGAGTTTGTTTCAAAGAAAGGCCAAAGTAGAAAAGTACTTGAGTACTTCAACAATCAAGAGATGAAAAGTGTCACTGAAGACAAAGAAAGGTAACATATATAAGATGTCTTAATGGTTTACCTTTGAAAAAATTGTTACCTGCAGGAAAGCATACAATTTTGTACTATGTATATATTTTTGTTCTATATTGTTTTAAAAAATATTTTACCCAGTAGTAAAAGACCTGTGAACTCTTTTAAAACATATTGATATTTTGACATGTGTAACACATTCACATTCTTGTGGTGAAGTATTATTATTTTTTTTTATTTATTTTTTAGAGATTGGGTTTCACCATGTTGGCCAGTCTGGTCTTGAACTCCTGACCTCATGATCCACCCACCTCAGCCTCTCGCAGTGCTGGGATTACAGGTGTGAGCCACCACTCCTGGCTGTGAAGTATTTTTTTTTAAAACAGAATAACTTAGATTTCTTACTGACATAAGTAACAAAAATAATAGCATGCTTTCAAATGATGTTTAAAGAATCAGTCACTCAAATTTTGAAGTAAATTTGTTTTCACCTGGGCGCAGTAGCACCCACCTGTAATTCTAGCACTTTGGGAGACTGAGATGGGTGGATCACCTGAGGTTGGGAGTTCTAGATCAGCCTAACCAACATGGAGAAACCCTGCCTCTACTAAAAAATACAAAAATTAGCCAGGTGTAGTGGGGCATGCCTGTAATCCCAGCTACTTGGGAGGCCGAGGCAGAAGAATCACTTGAACCTGGGAGGCAGAGATTGCAGTGAGCTGAGATCGCACCATTGCACTCCAGCCTTGGCAACAATAGCAAAACTCCATCTCAAAAAATAATAATAAATAAACAAATAAATAAATAGATAAATTAGTTTTCAAGAATATTAAATTTCTCAATTGCTGACTTTTTTTTTTTTGAGACAGAGTTTTGCTCTTCGTTGCCCAGGCTGGAGAGTGCAGTGGCGAAATCTCGGCTCACTGCACCGCCACCTCCTGGGTTCAGGTGATTCTCCTCTTTCAGCCTCCCGAGTAGCTGGGATTATAGGTGCCTGCCACCAGGCCTGGCTAATTTTTGTATTTTTAGTAGAGACAGACTGGTCTCTGCCAAATGCTTGCCAGGCCTCAGCCTCCCAAAGTGCAGGGATTACAGGCATGAGCCAACATGCGCAGTCTCAGATGGCACTTTTATAGCATTTTCTGTTTTTTTTTTTGAGTTTTCTTGATAACAAATTGGAACTCATACACTTGAGGAAGACTGGCTACACGGTGGCACACTTGCAGAGGGGTTTTTTTTTACATTTAAACCAACTCATTTTTCCTTCGAAAGACTGATAAATTTCTTCCCCTAGCTTTAATGAAGAAGAAAAAATAGAAGAGAGAGAAAATGGGGAAGAAAATTATTTTATTGATACCAACAGCCAGGATTCTTATAAGGAAAAAGGTGAAGCTGATGAAGAGAGTGGAGAAGAGAAATCTGTTGAAGAATCACACTGAATCATCAAGGTCTCCTCTCTATGCCCTTGCTGCTGTTCGCAGTGTCAGGGTGTGAGCAGCTGCATTTGTGTTTAGAACATCTGTGGGGACACCTCTGATTTGTGCAGGGCAGTTGAGCAAAGTCATCTGTACCCTGAAAAGCCTGAATCCAGTTTATTGGTCATTTGATCAGTTAGAGTAAGGCTTTGCCTATTCAGTTTTAAAAATCATTATATACAATCTGTTTACAACTATGATTTTGTATTTTTTAAAAGTGTTTGAGAATCACAGCTGTCAAACTGTTATAAAAATATACGTTGTTTCATTAATTTTAATAGAAAAAATGGCTTAGTATTGAAAGCAGAGAGAAATATTGGTCTTTGGTGATTTACTTTTTAAAAATTTCTGGAAAGTGTGAATCAATGAGTATTTTTAATTATACTATTTGCCCATTCTTTTTCTCTGAAATACATTTCACAGAATAAATCCTTGAATTTATTTTGCTACTCTGAGCCATTTTTAAAAGTATAGAAAAAAAATACTTACAAATTTTATTTTTGCACTGAAAGTTCACTGTTAAATTGTCTACACCATCATCCCTTTTTCTTTTAATCCTTAGTTCTAGTCAAAATTATTTTTGATACGTAAATTATTAGGAAAGTTTTTATACTAGCTTTTTTAAACCTTTGTATTATTACAGATGGAAGTATTTATGGCATGTGTGAGTTATAATCTAAATTAGGGGCAAGTATTCCTGTTTTATATATGATGAAATTGTGCATAGGAACTTGGCTAAGGCAAGTATCCAAAGTAATTCAGATTTAACTCTTTACTGCTAGACCCAGTTGTGTTCAACTTTTTACATATTGTTGCAAACACACTTTGTCTCTCTGGGTACAATGTTAATCTGATTTTATGAAATAATTTTTTCTTTAAGCAAATTTTTGTTTTAAAATTTGAAGCCAATTATAAAGCTGTTACAGCATAAGACGTCTTCTCTTCTAAAAACAATCAGCATCATTGTAAAAGGATGAACTCATATAGGTGTATGTAATAGCAGTGTTCCCCAACTGGCAATTTGTGTTTTAAATTGAAAAATAAGGTTATTTTTCTTCATTAGGGGCAAATGTTTACTTGTAATTTCCTTCCTACAGTTCATGTTAAAAGTGAAAATTACTTTTCACTTTTATTAAATTGTAAACTCCTTGGGAATTGGCACCATTTACAAATTCATCTTTGTATTCCCTTAATATTTGGCACAGGATTATACATATGGTAGGTACTTAATAAAGGTTTGAATGACTGTGCAGATGAATATGGTTTTTATATACTTGTAGCTATTTCAGCATGAGTACACATGGGATTAAAAACATTTTCCTCCTAGCTCATTGGGAGCCAGTGAAACACAATCTACAAATTATAATAGTACTTAAAACATTACTTGCTTTCAAAGATTCACTCCTCAGCCTGTCCCTTCTCAATTTCATGGGGAGAGTGTGGGCTTTGGTCATGAAACACTTGGCTTCAAGATCAATCTCGTTTTCTTACCTTAAAAAATATGGGAATTGTACCTATCTTGGGTAACTGTAGGAAGGACTGGATGAAATCATGAATGGAAAAGCTCTTTGCAAACTGTGATATTCAAATGATGGTGTCAGAAGACAGAACATTCCTGAGGAAGCTATTGACTTAAAATACTTTTACTTAAATGAGATACACTGTGATTTAAATATTACTTTGTTAGAAATCACTTTTGAAGCACTTTGTTAGATATAATCTGGTAAACACAGAGCCAAAGTTAAAAAAAGAGAGAGACGGACAGCTTCAAATCATTCTATGCATATCACTGTTTTCTTAGGAAAGCCATCACATTGACAGCGGAAAGAGTACTTTAGCAGGTTGTATTACACAGTGATGGTCAGAAGTCAATTGGTTGAATCAAACATGTTTTCAGGTGTTCGGTAACTGAAAATTTTGTACATTTGTATCATCTTAATTGGCTCCATAATTTTTTTCACTTATGGGATTTTCCTTTATACAAGATTAACCTAACATCAAGAAGAAGGCTATGTTCTTTTTTCCTTTCTTAATATTATTGGATACCCTATGACTTCATACTTATTTCTGCAGAAGAAATGGCCTGGGAACTTATTGGAGGATTAAGTTATTACACACACACACACACACCCCTATATGTATGATGGAAGGCTGGACACGGTGGCTCATGCCTATAATCCTAGCACTTTTTGAGGCAGAGGAGGGTGGCTAACTTGAGATCGGGAGTTCCAGATCAGCCTGGGTAACTTGGTGAAACCCTGCTGCAAAAAATACAAAAGTTAGCCAGGCATGGTGTCATGTACCGAGTAGTCCTGACACTTGGGAAGCTAAGGTGCGAGGATTGTCTGGGCCCAGCTTGTTGAGGCTGCAGTGAGCCATGATCTTGCGACTGCACTCCAACCTAGGTAACAAAGTGAGACCTCAACTCAAAAATAAAATATATATATATATGATGGAAAATTTAGCAATTTTTTTTTTTTAGACAGAGTCTCACTCTATCCTGCAGGCTGGAGTGCAGTAACAATTATTCTTTTACTCTGTTATTTAATCTATACAATAAAACAATTAAACATGCCTTTAAGGATGTCTGGTATTTTTATTAGTATTTCTCAAGTTAATTCTAGTCACTTGAGAATAGCAAAGATTTCAACATTTGCACCTAGGCAATAAAAAGTCATTAACTTCAGGCTGGGCGTGGTGGCTCACACCTGTAATTGCAACACTTTGGGAGGCCAAGGCAGGTGGATCACCTGAGGTCAGGAGTTTGAGACCAGCCTGGCCAACATGGTAAAACCCCATCTCTACTAAAAATACAAAAAAATTAGCCGGGTGTGGTGGCGTATGCCTGTAATACTAGCCACTTGGGAGGCTGAGGCAGGAGAATCACTTGAACCTGGGAGGTGGAGGTTGCAGTGAGGCAAGATAGTGCCACTGCACTCCAAGCCTGGACAACAAGAGTGAAAACTTTATCTCGAAAAAAAAAAATTAACTTTATAAAAATTACCTTATTGCTTTAAAGAAAAATGTATGCCCTTCTCAACCATCACATATGTGTATATGTGTGTTTTAGTGATTGTTTAGAAGGGAAGAAGTTCTTGTGAAATGAAGTTTTTGTCAATTTGACAAGACTTGGACTATAATATTATGGTGTTAAAGTTATCACTTTGTCCTAAATGCTTTAGGCAGTCTCATTTATTGTCACTTATATGCAGTCCTGATGTGGCCTGTGGTTGGCTAACTTACCTGTATTGTTAGAAAAGTTATAGGAATAACCTTTTTAAATTTAATTAAAAAATTTTTTTGAAACAATGTCTCACTGTGTTGCCAGGCTGGTCTCAAACTCCTGGGCTCAAGTGATCCTCCTGCCTTGGCTTCTCAAGTGTTAAGATTACAGCCATGAGCCACTGTGCCTGGCCAGGAATAACTTTTATATTATAGCAACTTTGTTTTTAAGGGAGGAAATAATGAAGGTCACAGTATATAGTGTGTTTTTAAATTTTGACTTAAAAATTCCAATATTGTGCCAGGCACAGTGACTCACACCTATAATCCCAGCACTCTGGGAGGCTGAGGCAGACAGATCGGTTGAGGTCAGAAGTTTGAGACCAGCCTGGCCAACATGGCGAAACCCTGTTTCTACAAAAAATACAAAAATTAGCCAGGCATGGTGGTGGGCGCTTGTAATCCCAGCCACTTGGGAGGCTGAAGTAGGAGAATCGCTGGAACCTGGGAGACAGAGATTACAGTGAGCTGAGCTCGTGCCACTGCACTCCAGCCTGGGCAACAGAGCGAGACTCTGTCTCAAAAAAAAGTAAAAATTACAATATTCAGGCTAGATGCAGAGGCCTACACCTGTAATCTCAGCATTCTGGAAAGCTGAGGTGGGAGAATCACTTGAGATCAGCCTGGGCAACAGAGTGAGATCCTGTCTCAAAAAAAAAAAAAAAAATTCAGATTCTATTTTACAACTAATATAGATTGAATAAATGAAAAATAAAACTATGATTTGTAAAATTTTCTAGTTAAAAAAGCAAATATACTAATATTTAGATGTCTACTTCTTTTTTCATTTTTGTAACAACTAAGACTGGTCTTTGGCAAATTATAAATCTCAAGAGGAGATAAAAAATTGAGAAGGAAAAAATTGGTATATAACTATTAAAAGTCAAGGCATAAAATGCATGCTTGTATCATACTTACATCTAACTCTGAAAAGATACACCAGAATATAAAAATGGCAATGGAGTTTGCCTCTAAGAGCCTGGGAGTAGGTGATAAAAGAGAGACTTCATTTTGTGTTTCTTCCTTTTCAACACTATATATGTTAAAGAAAAATATAAATGAGGCTTTAGCTTTGTAGGAAGGTATTTTCTAGACATATCTTCTAGATGTGCCCATCACCTAATGTCAAGAATTATCAACTCACAATTAAGTTTATTTCTTCTATTTTCTTACTCTCTAGCCCCTAGTTGTTTTGAAGCAAATCACATATTTCATGTAGAAATATTTCAGTATAGATCTTTAAATGGTAAAAAAAAAAACTTGCCCGTGTTACACAGCTCCAGTACCATCATCACACATACAAAAAAGAATAACCCCTTCATGCCAGTAATCTAGCAGTGTTGACATTTATCCTACTGTCTCTTAGCTGATGTTCTTCAGTGTCTTCTTTAATGCCAGCAACAAGTATCTTTTTCACAGTTAAGTGGGCACCTGGTCTTTGAGAACCTTCTCTTAAGACAGCCCTCTGGTTCCACAGCTCTCCCATCCACCTTGTGCAGCTTTGCATTCATGGCTGCAGCCACTTCTTCCACAGTGGATTGGTGACAAACCCAAAGATCCTGGAGCACTTGGTGTTGGAATCTCTCATGACCACACAGTCTGTGAGCATTCCCCATTGTTCAGAATGACTCCTTAGAGTCTTATCAGTCACACCAAAGCTCAACCCTCCAGTGAAATGCTGCTGCAGCTGCTTGTCTCTTTAGGAGACTGACAGACATGACAGCAGTGGGAAGAGAGACTTTGAGGATGCTTCTGCAGCAGTGACCATGGGCAGAAAGGGGGTTTCTATTAAATGCAGTAGAACACAATTCCTAATTCTAGAGGTATACCCAACCCATCATTAAATATACTGTATAAAGTAACATTTCTGAATTTCCACCAGCTACATGTGTCTGTGATGGACAGTGAGGTTCATCATTTACTTCTCTCAGAAGAATGCTTACTTTTTCCAAGACAAAAAATATCCTCTATGAGGAAAAAAATGCAAAAGAAGACATTAACGTTGTATAATAGAAAAAATCATAAAGGAGCTTTTCTCAAATAACGGTATTCATTAATCTTGAATGTTTAATAAAAAGAAGACGGTATACGTTGTTAGGAAAATAAGTTATCTTGTTCCACTACAGTAATGCTCAGGTGGATGGAAAAAAAAAAGGCAGCATCCTTTTGCTAACCCTAAAAGTTATGTTCCTGAAAACCATGCCAAGAGAGAGTGTGGTTGAGGAACTGCAACACTTCATGGGAGACAAAGAGAGGAATCAAAATAGGACAGAAGGAAGCCTGACAAACTCAGTGTGTTTTTAAAAATGTTCACTAATATGGAACAGTCCACTAAAGATAATGTCAATGACATTAATGTTAAATTAATTTTTTTTGTTATTCCTTTCTCATCACCACATTTCTAGGACTTCTCCTCCTTCCTTCCTTCCTTCCTTCCTTCCTTCCTTCCTTCCTTCCTTCCTTCCTTCCCTCCCTCCTCCCTCCCTCCCTCCCTTCCCTCCCTCCCTCCCTCCCTCCCTTCGTCCCTCCCTCTTTCCTTCCTTCCTTTCTTCCTTCCTTCCTTCCTTCCTTCTTTCCTTCTTTCTTTTTTCTTTTCTTTCTTTCTTTCTGAAAGAGTCTTGCTCTGTCACCCAAACTAAAATGCAGTGGCACGATCTCAGCTCACTGCAACCTCTGCCTCCTGGGTTCAAGCGATTCTTCTGCCTCAGCCTCCCAAGTAGCTGGGACTACAGGCATGCACCACCACCATGCCCAGCTAATTTTTGTATTTTTTTGTACAGACAAGGTTTTGCCATGTTGCCCAGGCTGGTCTTGAACTCCAGGGATCAAGTGATCCACCCACCTCGGCTTTCCAGAGTGCTTGCTGGGTTCATTGAATTTTGATAGCTCTTTAGTCTCCTTTTGTCTAAACAGCTCTCTGCCATTTTTAATTTTTATTTTTATTTTTTTGTCTTTTGTTTCATTGTTACTTTGTAA